GTAGTAACAGTTGTCCTCATCCTGCAAGGATGCTCTTCAATAAAAATATTTGTGGGAAAGATAAAGAAGAGCAGAAAATAAYGATCTGCTAATTCAGGTCCCAGTCCCTCCTTCCACTGCAGTCTCTCCATTGCCTTGCAGAGCTGCTGCCCCTGTTTATGGCAAATGTGTTGCCTCTTTAATTAAGACTCAAAACACATGTGGAAACATCTACCTGCCTCTCGACCCTTCTGACGGTAGCAATAGAAAAGCCAGTATTTCCATATTAGTTGCTTTAGGCAGCTAACAGTATTCACACTCCTAATTAAAATATTATAAAGAAAGTAGAATGATCATCATTCCTGCATTTTGTAAAAATATTAAATAGGAAGGAATATAATTAGATACCTGGTATGGACAGTATGGACAGGTCAGTAGTAGGTTATTTTCCATGACAAATTGCTTTTRCCCTTTACTGAACCCTTACATGATCTCTTAATGAGATTGCCAAATAAAACTTCATTCAAGTGGTGGAAAAGTAATTTTTGTGATTCAAGTCCTTGATAAATGATTTAGCTGAGATTAGAAAAATATCATGAAACAGAAGAAGTAGTAATGTAGTAAACAAAGAGATAAGTAAGTAAGTAAAACCCATTTACAATGAAAACATGTTAAATTTGTTAWTGGCTCCTGTGACATCTTATATTGTTATATATCTTATATTCTTCTGTAGTAAAATTATGCACTATTTGCCATTTGTATTTWTCAGAATTAAAATATATTTTAAACAAGCATGGTACCATGTCAAACCAAGATGTCTGGATTTGATTAGTATTCAAGTCAGTGAATTAAACAGAGAAACAAAATTGAGAAGCAGTGAATTTGCAAATATGAATACACTCTTACAAAGGAATGGAGTTAAATGAGCAGCCTGCTGAAAACTCTAGCTTTAGAAGATTAACAGCTTTTATTCCCATTACTGACTGATCTGCAATCAAAGCTGAAAATGTATTTAATGAGTTTAAAGTAACAAAGTCCATGTGAAAATAATCTAAGACTYTATAAAGATCCGTAAATATTAAAAAAAGAAATCCATTTATATACACCACCATCCTGTAAGCTACTGTAATGATTATGGAGCTCCCACGAGCTCTACGAGGAAAAACTGGAACCTTGAATACCACTTTGAAATTTTTATTTTGCAATGATTAGAAATAAACTCTGATAAGTTACAAGGAAAATATGTGTCCTTCAGAATTGTGTGCACCCTGCAAATCCCTGGACACTTTCTCTATTTTTCTCCACTATATARTAGGAAAAATGGGAGCAAATGTTTGTAGGTAATGACATTGGCAGACAGTTTTGTGATATAGGAGTTTATTAGTTTGTGGAAAGATAAAAACAAAATAGAAATCACACTCTATATAAATTCAAATAATATGATTGATCCAAGGACCTAAAAACAAAAAGACAAACATGAAATTAGAATGTTAAAATTTGTGATCTTCAAATCTTGTCATAATATGAGCACTTGAAAGGAAAAATTGTAATATTAAATACACAGATTTTTTTTCATATCATATAATCACCTTCACTTGAATAACATGGAATTAATAAGCTCTCTCCATAGTTTAGAGCCACAGTAGATCCAGAGATGTGATTCAGAGCACTCAAGTTAATAGGCCTTAAATAGTCTAGTACAAATGGCGTGAGTTATTCCCTAACAAGGAATTTACTACAAAAATGCCAGCTTATAGTGTACCTTCTTACACTGAAAGGATACTGAATCTTCTAAAGAAACAGCTGTAGTAATTTTAGAGAATAAAAACTTTACCACTGTTTGATCACAATACATTGTATTTTGAAGCCAGCATTTTTAGCAAAATCAAGCATTTTTACTGAGGGTAAAAAGTGTGAGTATTATTCAGTGCATGTTAGTCTCAGCAGGGCAACTTTGGCTGCTGTTTGTTAGTATAAGACTATATCATGTGTAAAGTTCTGTAGCTTCTCATATTTATAACCCAGTAAAGGGTAATCTTAGAGCTTCAACCTATATTTCTGTATTATTTACTTTAAAATATTTTTATTGTCTTATTACTGTACTGGTAGGATTTTTYCAAATAAATTTTCCACTATGTTAATATATTGAAGAATATATTACTTGTGATATGAGTCTTGAAAACTTCTGAACTTATTTCTACGTTTTTCATATTCTTTGTTTTATTAGAGGATTAGAATTACTGCCATCAGTGTTTGAAGAACGTAAAATTCCTCAAAGAAGTTTTTATCCCTTTGTTTCAAAAAAAAAATCACTAACTGGAACAAAATGCAGTCTAAGATTCAGCTAACACTGATTAGATTTTAAATATTATCACACAGCAGGCACTGCATCCCTCCTTTCATGTGGCTCCCCGTAGCCTTTGTGGCTGTCGCTGTCAGCCAAGGAAGGAGGTGGGAGAAATTTATCCTTTTTTCTGCTTCTAATCTCCTGCCTGCCCACAGTCAGAAAGATTATCGTATATTGGTTTGACCGCATCCAAGACTGAAATGTGACAAAGTCTTTATTAGATACATTACATCTCACTAACAGCGGGGAGTTACCTGCAATCAGTAAAAAAGCCTAAGTTTTGGCTAGTAGGATCATTCGAAGGAAGTGCTATTATGGTGAATGTGGAGAGGGAGAGATGATAACTTTGGAGTAAAATAGCTCTCATAGTCATGGAAGGGGACAGCCAGGAGCAACGCTGATTACAGGAGAAGTGATAGCACTTGGGCCACAGCGGTTCTGAGGAAAGGATAGTTTTGAGGGGCTAAAGGGGCGCATGTGACAGTGCATGAGAGTGAGCCCCCGGAGCTGAGAAATGGGGTTGACTACGGGATGCAAAATGATGACTGTGACAGAGACCAGCTCCACACACGAGAGTGGGAGATGGGCAGGGTGGTCTGGCTGGGCCTGTGTGGAAACTAAGGGACCAACGTGTGCGTCTGCGGAAGAAAGTCGGGTGAAAAAGTCTAAGTGACTCTGTGTCTGAGCACTGAGGCAAATCTCTCTGCATAGAGGTGCAGGTTGCTTTTCCACTGTACAAATAGCTTTAGGTGTATTGACCCTGTATTGGAACATTTTCTCAGCAGGGGGTTTTCTTTGTACGTTACATAGCAATGTCACTGACTCAACAGGACTATCAGCTATATATAAAACACATAGAGTCTCACTCGCTTTTGTTAAATTAACTAATACTGCATGTTTGGGGAGGATGACTAAGAAATAGTATTTGAAGTAAAGAAAGCCTAACCTTAAATTAAAACAAAACTGTATGGGTGAAACTGGATAATCTGAGCAATGTGTTAATGGGGAATGGCAATGTGTTAAACTGGAAAAATAGATAATACAGTTTGTCTCATGCCTTTTTGTTCAGATTATTAATTTCGATCTAGCATTTTTAAATATGTTCTGAGGATGTGATACAAGTTTTATTTTGTTTAGGTTTTCTGTCATATGCAGCATACGAATCATCTTCAGGTTAAGCATAATTTTTAGGCTAATCAATCTTTTATACTATACTTGAGAAAATTACGCAAGTAGACCTACCTCTTCCCTCTTCTGAGCATCAGATTAATCAGCACCTTCATGCAAACCATTCTTAGCACATCTGAAGCTGCCAGTGATCATCAGGGAGAGTGAAAGGGTGCAGAGAGAATCTGATGGGGAGAATGTTGAGAGAAGCTTGTCAGTTTATGATCAAGGGGCACATGAGGAAACCAGAAAAATATAAAATGAAAACAGAGGAGTTCTTACCCGCTATTACCAGGGATGTAAAAAAAATGTCTGGCATGGCTGGCACAAACAGTGGGTGAATTCCAGTCCTGAGAGCATCCAGAGTAATTCTCCAGGAAGTGATGGGTTTTTCTCTTCTGTGACAAGGCTGGTTATGCCAAAAAGAAAGCTATGCTAAACACACATGGCCTTCAGGCAACTGGAGATGAACCAGAGGCAGAAAGAACCTGCCAAACATCCACAGATCAGCTTTTCAAGAAACTGCTAGGAAATAGCAGTGAGCAAGGAGAAATGTGCAACCAAATTAATTGTAAGGCAGGAGGAAGATGTCAAAGGGCTCTGTTCAAAGCAAGGCTGTGTCAATATGAGAGCAATTATGATAAAGAGTGAGGCTCTTCCCAGTCACACATACAGAGATGTGACCACCATTCACTCCTCAACAGTGTTCTTCTCACAGGAAAAACACTGTGACACTGCAGACACTGTGACTCTGCAGAGTCTTCCCCYCTTAAAGTGTTTCTTGAGAGCTTGAGGATGATCCAGGCTGGTGGAACAGAGATTTACGAGTACAATAGAATATTAAAAGCTTTTATTTCCCCCCAATATTGATGGAGCGACAGCCCCAGAAATATTGTTTCCTCTATGACATTTTCAATTTTTGAATAGATGGAGGGTGATGGCAGGAACTATTGCTCAAAGTTTGCTGCTGTATACGGAGCTGCTACSCCATACATACCAGTTCTCCCTATACCATAATTCTCCCCAGTATCCAGTCTGGCTTTCCAGGCTGCTAATATAGGTAATGGAAGTAGCAGACTTACCAGTATTTTGCTGCTCTATGGAAATCTGTGATTTGTCTTTGCCCTTAAGCTCATCCTAATATCTTTCTGCTGACATTTTTTTTTTTTTTCCATTTGCAGGGTCAATGCTCTTCTGCTAAATAGGGAAATCATGCCTATCTTTTTGTTTTAGGTTGTATTAAAGTTTCTCTACCAAGACTTGTGTAGGTATTTGAGTTGTTTTTCACTTACAACATGTTTTTTTTTCCTATACTTGTGATAAAGCAGAAGGGGTCATCACATATGCAAAGTGTRTTCTGCCCTTGATAGTCCAGAAATATTCTTATTATGACTAAAATTGAAATCTTAAAGCAGTATCTGCATTACTCAYATATGAATATATATGTGTAGGAACAATTGAATCACTCCTACTTTTTCTAACAACAGGAATGTTTTTTGCTTTTTACCTTGTCCAGCCAGATCATCTTGGTCAGCTTCCTTGAAAGGTGGTGCTGTGATTCCAGTCAGCTCTTTYTCCATCTCTGCTTCACTCTTCTCATCACTGGCATCCAGGAAAGTGATTGGGATAAAGGTATCATCTGTGGTATAAACTGCCAGTGTGACAGCCTGCTCTGTTGGGGGCTCCAAGTCATCAGTGATTAATTCGTTGCTGGTATACTCATCTGCTGGAGGAAGCAAATAGGAACCCTCTGGTTTCAAAGGACTGTGTGTGCTAAGCAGAGCACTGAAAGGCACTGTGAAACTTTGCTGGTCAGCAGTGGTATCTTCTGTGCTTGTAGGAAATCTCTCTCGAGACAGTTCTCGAGGAGGTTTGGTAGGGAATGCAGTTTCAGATGAAACAAAATTATTAAAGTCTTCAGGGACCCTGATTTCTCCACTAAGCACAGGGATTTCAGTTGCAAATCCACTGGTTAAGGTTTCTCCTGTTTGTTCCACCAGTGCTGGGCTGGGATAAGGTAGTGGAAGTTCAACATTCATGGAGTCCTCCTGAAAAAGGGATTCAGTAGAAAAAAAAAAGATGAATGCAGTCATTTGCATTAACATTCACTGCAAGAAAGTCTAATGATGTTTAGTCACAAGAGCTTGTGAAAAATTAACTTCTTGTGAAGTCATGGGATATATAAAATCTCAGATATACACATGTGATCCTAATCACGTTGTCTATTATTTTAAAATCAGTCAAAGATGACTTTTACTACCCCTATCATTTACTCTTCTTCTCTCATTGACATGTGTTATGTTATTTTATGTTTATTACTCATGAACCATGGTTTCCCTTGTAATTAACAATGGCAAAGGGATCAAGCAGTAATATTCATTTGTAAATACTTTAAACAATATCTCTGCTTTTGCTGTGGAGCACCACAGTATATATCTTTCTAAGACTATTTAAATTATTTTTTTGTGGAAAAATGAATTAAAATCTCACTCTGGATTAACTTACCAGCTCAGGGGGAGCTAGAGGAATAGTGACCATGGACTGGATGTCATTATCAGAATCACTAGACGGTTTAATAGATTCTGCAAAAAATAATCATATTTTTATACACACACAGAACTGAATAGTTTCAAGACAATCACGTTGACAATGGATTGAAACTTATAAACTAAGTAAAAACAGTATTAAGACCATTATTCTCCATCAAAAAGATGACTTTTAAAAATCAATGTTAAGAAAGAAGCATAAGCTTCAATTTAAACTGACAATTGTGAGTAAGGTAGGAATTTTATATGCACTAATCTTTTTATTCCTTATATAGTATTAATGGGATAGGTCTGTAGAGGGCTGAACCATGCATAGCTGGATGAATAATTAAAACCAGTTGGAGTACAAACTACTCAGTGAAATTCACACGGGCTATGATGTGTCATTACAATGTGTTGTTCATCAAGCTAAAATTCTTTTCAGTTGTTACCAGAACCCACAGCATTGTTACTCTCAGAGGTTTTGGCTTTAACACCCTGTTGCTCCTTTAACCCTCTCTGAAGAGCTCTGTAAAACATACCTGCATGCAAGCTGATTTCCTAAAACTAGCAATTAAAGAGAGCTAGTGGGAGAAAAGTTACTCAGAAATAGATAATGTTAAAATATTTTACACCCATATTTTTTTCTTGGCACTTTTAATCTCAGTCATGATAGAAATACTAGTTCATCCAATTCATCTAAACATTTTTGGTAGAAGAAAATGTTGCTGTTTATATATGACACGTAATGACTAAAATATGCAGACTGTTTTACTAAAATATGCTGAGTGTCTTAACATTTTCATGTGTACATATATATATATATAAAAAAAAATTGATCTAGCTCTCCAAAATCAGGGCTATGTTAACTTTGAAAAAATAATGGATGCACTATAGAGGGATATTTATGACAGATCAATGGACATAAAATGGCCTCTGAAACTTCTGATGGCATTTTTCCTCTCTCAGCTTTAGCTCTTTATACTTGTCATCTATGCTCCATCTGTGCTTCAGGGAAAGAAATGTCCCCTCACAGTGTGAGATTCACATCACCAATTTTAGCTTGAGATCAAATGCTTTTTAAAGTGCTTGCCTTTCTCCTTTGACTCCACTGGAAGGGTAGATATCTTGACTACCATGAAGGTTTAGTTTTTAGGCAGCTAAATCTAGGTTAGAGGAAACACTCATTTTTTGTCTTATTAAAAATAGGAGACTATCCCTACTGGGAAATCAAAATTATTTTGTGGATTTTCATGCTATATTTCTTGTTTCCCCTTATTGGTCTGAATCCACAAAATATTCAGCTTTTCTAAACAAATAGAGCCTCCAATGTGATTAGAAGTTAGGATTTAAAATGATAAAAGGTCATTTTGGTTTTAAATTTAACATAGATCTGAGAATTCTTTGCTTGTTATGCAATATACAGCAAAATGGGTTATGTCAAATGAAAATGATCTGTGGGGGACAGAAAGACCTTGTTCAAATTGCACATATTTGCCAGGCAAGGTTTAGACCTGCAGTGTCTTGCCTACTGACCATCAGTAAACTGAAGTGTTCCAAGGTCCACGGGCAGAGACCTGTCCTCGTGGAGTGCTGTGGCAACCAGCTGCTGAAGATCAGTCACGGTGAGTTTACTTGCAGCTACCTCCTTCTCTTCCTTTGGAGAAAGTGGAGTTTTTTCATTTTCAACCTTATTAGAGCCAATGGTTGTGAGGTCATCTGTTGGGCTTTTGATGTCTGAGCCATCTCTCTCAAAGTTTACCACGTATCGTGCTATAGTGCTGCTTGATCTGCAAAGGGAGGATACAATAATGCCAAGTGCAACTAAATTAGTTAATGGTTGAGGACTTAATTTAGAAAAAACAAACAAACAAACACAATCTCTGCAGCTCAAAAATATAATTACTCATAAAAATAACACAGATATGCTTCTTTTTAGTCACAAAGTCATCTACAGATCACTTCTGCTATACCTAAGGCTTTTTTTCGTCTATGCATCATTCCAAAATAAAAGTTTAAATTTTGGAGAACATTATAAATATCCTAACATAATCCACTTAAAGCTGACTACTCAGAGACTTGTAGGACTGATAATAAAGTGTGAAGTTATTGGTTCAATTATTGATTATAAATACAAGCTGGAAGTCACCAGAAGTCATAATCACATATTGGTTATACAGAAACTTATGAAAAGTGAGTAAACAGTCTTTAGTTCATAGAACTGCATATAACCAAAAATTCTACCATGTTTCATGCAATTTCACTCTTACGAAGAACAAACAAGAAAACTAACTAATGTTGGAAGAAAATAATTTTCCACTGTAGGAGTTAGCTTGTCCAACTCTAAATGAGTGTGTATAGCTTCTGCTTAGATGTTATTAATTAATCATTTTTTATAAATGTTAAATGCACTTAACTAAAGTGAAAAAAGCAGCGAACATATTTGGGAGCATTTGTATTGCACTCTGTTGCTTTCAACAGGATTGCATAAGTAAAGTGAAAGAAATTTCATCTTATCTAGTATATGCTATGTATTTATGCAACACAATTCCTTTTAAAATACAGTTGAAGGAGAAATTCTGAAAGCTGCTAGAGAAATGATTCTCCTGGAGCGCTTTCAAGCAATAACAAAAAATCCCATAGTTGTATGTATTACCAGTCAAGAGCTCCCAGGATTTTATCAGATTAGAAGTTGGTCTCTTTGCAAATTAAATCTTACATTCTTTTTGAACCGAATGCTTATATATCTATTTCTATGTATGTATAAAACACAGCTAAGAAATAGCTTATCAAAACTGAAAATGTAAATAGGAAGATCCTTTGTTTTTTATTTTATGTTTATGGCCAATGGAGATATCCAGTTACTTGAACATGGATTTGTTCAGAAAATTCTTTACTTCAGAAAGACCCCGACAGAATTTCATTATGTGAATCTTTCAGATTACGGAAAAAGATTCTGTACTTGGGCAGAACACAATTTACTTTGTCATATCAAGATAAAAAAAAAAGCTAATGGACATATCTATATACATTTATTAGTTTATAGAAAATGGTAATCATATTAATTATAGACAAACAGACAAATTACCCATCTTTTTCCTTCTTCTGTCTTCATTCCATCACAGAAGAAAGAGTGTGATAATGGATTGCAAAAGAAAGAAAAACAGAGATTCATGTATATTGGCAAACCATGCAGTTGTAAATCAAAAGCATCATGACATTTTATCTTCTACCTGTCTTCTATAGTCTTTACCTCAGGGTGAAAATTACAGCCTACTCTCCATCATTATGCTTTTTCTCTTTCTAACAAATCTTCATAAATGGGAAGAAAAAGGAATTTTACTTTATTTTGATAGATGGAAAGATTTGCTTTTTTTTTTTTTTTTTTTTTTTTTTTTTTTTTTTTTTTTTTTTTTTTTTTTTTTTTTTTTTTTTTTTTTGTCCATGATGACAAGTGGCTACTATTATTGTTCCTCTACTTGGTAGCTCAGATGCTAGTCACAGGATAACTTGACCTATTAATTACCTCTGACTTGTCTGTAGTGACGTTCTGTAATATATGCTGAGTGCTGCATAATATCCTGTTATTTTCATTTCCCTGATGAATTCTCTGGCACATCTCTAGTATTGTCTTTCAGTACTGCCTCATAGCAAATTCTGCTAACAAATGTACCAAAACAGCCAAAGGAGACCAGACAACAACATATCTCAGACTGGTTTTGCTGCTGGGAAACAGCAAAAAAACAGCATTCATCAACACGGATGAATGTGCTTTCTCATCAGCATCTGAGACTGAAGATCAAGATATTAAACAAAAATTGATCTCAGATCTCTTTGGAGTTACAACTCAAGAAGGTAATTTAGCCTAAGTTGTTACTGCAAGAAGCCTCTACAGATTTTCTCTGCTTGTTCCGGAGTAGTCAGCTTTTGCTTTTCTTCATTTTATTATCAAAATTTTAAACAACTTGTTTTCACTATGTTTTGTTCTTATCTCTCCCTGTTCCCAGAAATTTTGCAGAGAGAATAGCTGAGAAAAGTAAGTCCTTGTCTAAAATTACACTGTGATGTGATTATCCCTCAACATGTACTAAGTATTAACAGAACTGTATCTCCTTTATGCTGTGACACAAGCCCACATGAATTTATGTCTTTTCTTGTTCTTTTTCTCTGTTTCTTTCAGGTTTTAATTGCTATTTGTGATTTTGTTTTCTTTGGACTCTTCCATGTGCTGTTATCTGTGGAATTAACCATATAAAATACTCATTCCTTTTTGAAAAAAAACAAAAACAAAACAAAACAAAAAAAAAACCCTGTTTTTGAGGAAGATAGATCGGAATTTATACAAAAGTATTTATTCAAAAGTAAGGCATCTGAATGGTTTGAAGTACTTATAAATAGTCTGCTGCAAACATTTTGCATGGGTGAATATATCATATCCTCATCTTGCCAAAGCACCATCACTGTGCTTTACAAGGGGCACAGGATCCCTATGAAAATAAAGTACGCACCCAAATCATTCAAGCTCTTAACCCTCTTTGCCTAACATAATTTAAGAAATTTTGTATTTCAATGCTGGTAGCAAACAAATGATTTGAAAACATTAATAATCACCTGAAACAGTATTTATAATTTCCTCGGGGAACAAAACTACTTCTGCTGCATAACAATTCAAAGGCTTATAGCCTCATTTGGGATGTATTTGCACTTCTCTTGATATTCTCTATGTATTGTTCCAGAAAATAAATTTCTATTTATAGCAATACATGCTCCACTATTAATAGGTCTCTTGATACTGGAGGAGAGAAGTGAGATGAGAATCCTTGAAATCAATAGAAAACTGAAACCTATTTTCTTACTTACTTAAATCCTAATACATGGATTTCTTTAAATCCTGGAAGTTTCTCAAATATTTTTTGCATCTAAAAAAAAAAAAAAAAAAAAAAAGGTCATTAAGTCAGTGTAAGTTCTGCTAGTAAATGATTTAAAATGATTTATTTATTCTCTGCTGCCAAAAAGCAAAAGCACAGGTTGGTTATCCAGAACACATTTATCTAGAAATGTGAAAGAACACATTTTCACATTTCAGTAAAAGCTTAAGGAAATTGTGTCAACTGCCATTTTTTGCTATTAGCATTGCAACTTAAACACACCATGGTGTTGGTATATGCTGTCTGTATTATCTGTCAGCAGGAAAAATGAAAAAAAAAATTCCTTTTTTTTTTTAGTATTTTAATTATGTAAATTAGTGATAATCTAGTTCATAAGAGCAAGTCAAATTATATTGATACAATCAAAGTTTTGTTTCATGAAATACTCTGCAACTCGTCTTAAGTGTAAATTACTATTTAAAAATATTAATCAAATGCTGATGCATTTAGGTTAGTTATGAAATTATTTATAAATTAAACATTTTAACTGTCTTGTACAAACAGTCACTTCACATATTTTTAATTCTAATGCAAGTAATTGCAGTTAGTGTTTTGTAAACAGAAAAGCCAATATGAAGCACAAATAATGAACAGAAAATGTGAATCTTCTATGCATTTTTTATGCTTCAGAGGGTAAGTATTTTTACTAGCACCTCCAGCACTAGCAATGTATGGAGCAGACTGATAAACACTAAAGAATTTCTTCGAACTATAGTAAGATTTATACAGCAAAGTCAAATGAAATATTTTATGTACTTCTGGTATGTCAGAGGAATTTTTTTTTAAGCAAAGTTCCCCTCTGATTAACTTCCTGGTCCTGCTAAGTACCRGGCAGCACATCCTCTCAGCCTTTCATCTGATAGCAAAGTCTGTGGAGTAAAGGGAACTCAGCACTTAAAAAGAAGTGAAAAGCCTTTTGAGGAATCAGGTCCTTTTAATTCAGCATATCGCTCAAAAAGCATGAACAAATGTGGAAGTCTTTCCACTGTCTTAGTTGTATGATTCTGTTCAAACTCAGCATGCATTTAAAATTCTATCATGATTGAGAATTTGCCCAAACAGGTGTGCACTCAGAATTAACAAAGTGTTTCAACAGTACTTGAAATGGTTGGTAACCCCAAGGAAGGTGAGACAGCAATATCTGTAAAGCTCTCTTATGTGCAGAGATTTTCACTTCTTCCATTCCTCCTTTCTTGAGTCTTTGAAGGAACGAAGGTTGAATGTTTCATTGGGTGTTGCCTTAATACTTGCTCTTTTTCTGGGTTCTACCAGTGGTTCAGAGTTTCAGCTTTATTCTCCATGTGTTTAAATGGTGTCTTAGAGTTTGAGTGTCACAAACACAGAAGATGTTGTTAGGTGTTGCAAAGATTGCTAAGTAACTTCCACAAGTTTCTTGTGTCTCTAATATTAGCTAAGTGAAGTAGTACAAGACCAGTATATTATAGTACAAGTACAAGACTAGATAACAGCTGCCCAGTGTCTGCCTTGGTGTCTTTTTCTTCACAGCAAGTAGTAGAGGATCTAAGGGAGATATTAGGGCAGAAAATGGCTCTATATTCCTTTTGACCATCTCTCACAAGAGGAAATTAGGAAAGGAAGTGAGATGGTTGCTTCACTTTTGAACTTGGAAATCAGTAAAAAGTGAGGCAGAATTAATAACTAGACTGCAGGAAGATTTTTAATAGTATTCAAGGCAATAATACTGAAGATTACATATGTTAAGGACCTAAATATCAGTAAATTCTGTGTCAGTAGGATAAAATTCATTTTCCTAAACATAGGCCTGCAGTATCATTTTAGATTCCCCAAGGTTTTCTGCTCAGCTGCTGCTTTCATATTTGAAAGCCCTGTGCAGATAGTTGGATATCTGCACAGTTTAGGTGCCTTCAGGCACCTAAAATGTCAACAGATGTTGATGATGATGACACTAAATCTGTCTTTTAGATATATTATGCCAATTGACTGTTGCTCTGGGCTCTGTCTCTTGCTGGTTCACTTTATATCACCATAAATAATGCTTTTTTTAAAAAACAGTATGCACACAGGCCACTTCTTATTTCTTACTTTTGCCAAGAAAAACTCAATTCACTGAGTAAGCAATTGAATGTGTATTCTATTTTTCACATGATTTTAAATAAATTCTGTAATATAATAATGTCCTTCCAAACATTTGCATTGCAAATATCTACTGTAACTCCTCTCTTTTACCATGTCCTAGAATTGCAAGCTGATAGGAGCTTGGAACCTCACAGCCCCACCTGCACAAAGGCCTTTTTCTTGGGGTTTATTTCAGAATATTATTATGCAGGAGTTGTTACATTTTGATCAAAACCTCCTCACCTTCACCCAGTACAGTGTACTTTGGAGGAAAACACGTTGACTATATTTCACAGTCTTGAGTTACAATTTATTTTCTGTTCAAAATTTTATGTCAAGAACAGCTTTTGATGCTCTAAGGTGAATGCATAAAATTTCATGAAAACGGAGAATAGTTTGATAGTCAAGGAACTTTTCTTTTCCCTGTATAATTCTCATATATGCTAGGAACTTTTTAAACCTCATATAGGAACTTTTTAAAACAACAATAGTAAACTAACTCAAAAGTCAGACAGCTGAATTATGAAATTAGATGTGTAGCAAGCAAAGCCTGAAGGCTTTGTGTTCTGTGTTCTGTGAGAGGATAATCCCAGAAATCTCCAGAGAAACCACTTTTCACCATCTCTGACAACCCTAAAATCATCATTTTTCCACGTATAACTGAACCTGAACCAGAAATAGCTTGTACCAAGGAGTAACTATGAAATGGATGATAAGCTTTAGTTAATTCTACTGTGCAAACCTCTTGGGAACCTTAGCTTATTAACTGTTATCTATTAAATTGAACATTCAGTTAATGCTATTAATTTTATAAAAAAACAAATCTTAAAGAAAATATGGTAATGCAAAACAAAACAACTTGGAAATGGTTCTTTTTTCAGATCCGATTACTGGTTTTTTTGATTTGTTTGATTTCTTTCGTTTCTCATGAAATGAAGAAATTTCTCTCTCTCTCTCTCTCTCTCTTTTTTTTTTTTCTGTAGAAATTAAATTACATCTAACTACTATCCATGAATTCCCCATTAGGCCCAAATGATGTTTCTAAAGCTTCCAGTGGGGTCTAATACTCTGTTCTCCAGTTATCTGAGGCTTTACAGTTTAAAAAGAGACTGGCTTGGAAGTTTGGTAGCTGAACAGATGTCCTAAAAAGGTGGAAAAGATGCTATATCTGAAGGAAAAGTGGAGACAATATCAAGCATCATCTGGTTTAAGTGAGGGAAGTTATTTAGATTCTAGTTCTGTGTCATTGTCCCAGTGATGGCAGACACTAAGCAAATACAAAGTATGAAGACTACCCCAACTTTGTGCTCTTGAACACAAATTACAAGGCCTTACTACACATTGGAACAACTATGATTTATGAACATCCACAGATAATGCTCCAGTGTGAGTTCATGAAGGTGCATCATTTGACCAGTGCCCCTCTGCTTTGTACTGCTGATATCAATAATACTCCTAATCTTTCCTTGTGTGGTGCAATGGTTTATAATTTCTACTGCCGTCTTCTTCATAATCCCCTTTGATACTCATAATTGAACTTCCCTGAAAACTTGACATCTTGAATTAGTGCAGAGAGTTGGCACCATTAGAGTCCATTAACTTCTGTCAATGTCTCTCATTGACCATGAGCAACCCAGTCCCTAGAAACCTGCAAATCAGCATTTTAATGGGCCAACGCACAGTAGTGTGATACCTAGCTAGGGATAGTTGCCAAAGTGCCTTTGTTTCTCTGTGGTGAGCACATTTCTGCAGTTTCCTATTATGAGTCTGTCAAGGTATACAAAGCACATCGTCAGCCTCCTTACCTGGAGCTGAAACTTGGCAGCAAGCTGCCTGTACTGTGGGGAGTCAGGGTCACTAAGCTCAGGCGTATACTCCTGATCGGTGAGAGTGACGCTGAACTCCACCATTTGCTCCACGGGCAGTTCCGGAACAGCATTTGTTCCCAGCTCCTGGGGAGAAAAATAGGCAAAAGGAAAAAAGAGGAGAATAATACTTTGCGTGTTCTTCTGCTTGCTTGTTTTGTTTTGTTTTGTTTTACACAATGTTTTCCTCAATATTTAATAGGGAGAAGAGCTCCTTTTTAAGTGCTTCCTCAAAAGGACATTCTGAACTCTCTCCTGCAAAGAGTGAGGACTCCTAACCACATCTGTTAGCCTAATTCTTCTGCCTTTGTATGTTCACAGTACTGTTAGTTGCCTTTGATATACATAAAAGAGGGTGATAACCAGCCATTTGTTGCCAAGTGAGGGTTGCAAAAAATTTTCTGGCTTTGAACACAATGAAAGTGATACAAGTGTAATTGCCACTTTGGAGGAAGCTTGTTGCTCAAGAACAGGAACAGGCAGATGCCAAAAGCAGCACCAAATGTGCTGGTATCATATGCTCAACACCTTTAAGGAGCCAGAGGAGATTGCCAGGTTGCTCAATGCTGCTCCGTGTTTAGACATTTGCAGCTTTGTTTTGCCTTTTTATTTTTTTTCTAGTAAAAAAGTATAATTTGTTCTTCTTGGGTTAGACCTTTCCTGTGCAATTGAATGCCCTGTTATGAAAAGTCCTCTTCTTTTGTTTACTGCTTCCTATTTTTGTACTTGCAATTTTGGCCTACACACTTCTTTCTTTAACAATGTTAATCTGCAGAGGATGTATCATTTACTGGATACTCTGTGCTGCTCTCAAGAAGGAAATTATACAAGAAAAAGCCTTCAATCAGTGTTTTCATCCTACACATAGAGCTGCTACATGACTCTTGTGCTTCCTTCAGGGACATGGCTACTAAGGACTGGGACAAGAAAGAAGGAGAGAAAGAAAGGAGGGATTAATTAGGGTCAGTCTCCTAGTCCATGACAAATTTTTAACAACAAAAAAGAGATTTTAAACTCATTTTCTCTTCATATTTGTATCGGCTCCTCCCTTCCTACAGTCACGATACAAGTGAGAGAAGCGCAGCTGTGAACAGCAGAGCCCTCTCAGACAGTTCGGGGAAGTTGGGGTGATGGTGGTCGGCATCGCTCTGCAGCTGCTGCTGCCCCTCTGGAAGTTTCTACTTGGAAGACCATGAAGCAACTGGGGCAAATAATGTCCCTTCCTGAGCGCTAATTCTGCGAGCTCAGCTCAAAAGAACAGAGGTGAAGGAATAAGCTGGATGGGCACAAAACTGTCCTCACCTTCACGGGAGTCTTTGTGTCGTTGACGATTTCATTGAGCAGCGTCCCATTGGGCACTGGCGCGTAGGGAGAGAGGGAGGCGCCAGGGGAGCCTGGGAGAGGTGGGAATAAAACAAAACAAGAACAGGGATGTGTGACAAAGATGGACAAAGCTGCCTGTCACAGACCTGTTTGCAGGATGCCTCCTCGCTGAACCAAGCTGCTCTTATTTACACATCCTTAACACTGCATGTTTTTCTAGCACTGCTTTAAAGAACTTTGTACACAATGGTATTGATGTATCTAGACTGAATAAACCACTGAACCTAAATTAATGTCACAGCATCAGTGTGACACTCTGGCTATAGATCATTCTTTATTTTCATCTATTGGCTTATTTTGGCAAACCAAATGCAGCAGCTGATAGTTAATCCATGACTGATGCCAAATTAGCATTACTCACTGCACATGAAACTAAGAACACATAGCTCATAAGATGCAGCTGAAGACTGCGAAACAAACCTGAAACAAAATGTCATAGCAGGCATGTTGTCAAGAAGTCAAAAAGTAATTTTTGTACCTCTTTTAGTCAAAGCATTTTTCTTTATTGCACTTCACCAAGCTTGTCATACTCCTATTGCATTCATTAAATAACAGCCTTCTACAATCTACAAGTCACTATTTCTAGACAGTCTATTTAATGGACAGACTCAGAGGAAGCAGGTTTGATTTTTACCTGTAGAAATGGAAGGAATGTCTTCCAGCTTTTTGCCACCTGTTTTCTCTGTGGATATTTCATCCTTCCTATTAACCAAATAGAAATGAGTGATTTATTGATCAACAATACTTTACTCACAATGGCAAAGATTTAACAAAACACAGAAATCACTCCTATATTGGGTGTATTTCTAAATAAAAGAACTTGATTCTAATGAAATATTTTGATGACCCAGTTAAACTGGTCAGTGCAACAGCAAATGGGGAGAAAAGGGATCACAGAAATTAAATCTAATAGCACTGTCAATGCACAGACTAGGCTATATGGCAGGGCTTGCTTTTTCTGTCTTTGAATGGAAAGTAGATTCGACTGCTGACTAAAATGCAAGCAAGCCTCCTTGTAACTTATCCAAATCAAGTATCCTCTCCTTTACTGTACTGCCTGCTATCAAAATAGTTCACAGCATTGTTTTTTGTATCATTGCCATTATTATTATTTATTATTTCAGTTGTAAAATTTAAAGATATGTGCTGATGAATAAATTTTGGAAGTGAGTGTGTTAATTTGCTTGATAAGCAGAGGGGACATATATATATATGCATGCATATTCTATAATAAATCAGTTAAAGATTTCCATAAGACTATAAAATAATTTGTTCTGTAAAAACTAACTTTTATTCATTTGTAGTTTTTGGACACCAATCAGATTCTTAGATATGGATTTATAAGCTATATTTTGAGATTTTCCTTTCCATAAAGTGGAGATGGAGAATGTCATATAATTTGGTTGAAAAGTGCCATCACTGAAATAAATGAGGATGGAATTTTTAAAAATTTCTATAGAAGCAGTTATTATTAAATCAATGCATGAAACTGGGGGTCTTTGTGGAGACTGATCTAAGTGAAAGAATTCAGGGCACTGCAAATGCACATTTAACACTGTGAAGCTCATGAAGTATACACACTAAAAGAGGGTTGGGTTGCATTTGTGTACAGAACTAACCTTGTTTTTTAGTAACATGCCTAACGAAGGTGAGCAGTGCCGGTCTACAACACCCGCCCAAGCATGAGACTGACCTCTTTACTTATCTAGAGAAGATACAGGACAACCTGTTTCCTTCAACTACAATGTAGTGATGAAGTCCAACTATGCATAACACAGCTGCCTGCATTTCCAGTTAAAATATTCATATAATTTACTTCATTAACTTCTGAACTGTGCTGAAAGCTGTACTGTTCAAAAAGAGCATAAAAATGCTGAAATCATTCATTTATTGCCTTGATGCTGCTGTTTGCACAAGACTGAGTGAAAATGCTTGCCTTTGGACTTCAAGAGGAGTTTAATTAGGCCCTACATTTTAAAAATACATTTCTTAGAAAGAAGAACACTTGAAGCTCCAATATTGTAATCAATATAGATACATAAGACCTCTGTGATCTTGAGAAAGTAGAACATAAAAGCAGAAGGTATTTGCTGCATCTGAAAATCTAGGAAAATTGGAAAGAAAAGTAATTCATTAATCTGAAGAAACAATGGACAATGATTTGTCTGGCTCTACCGTGATATCCACATGCAGAGAGAAATAGAGTTCACTCTTGTAACTTTAATCCTACCATTCTCAGACTTCTGAGGATTAGCAGAAGCATTTTTTTGTTTGTTTTGGTTGTTTGTCTTTTTTATAAGAGAGTATTATACTGTAAAGCAGTACATTAATTAATACCGGTCTGACTTTTAAAAATGAACATGAACTTGTCATATTATTGCTAAGTGCAACCTCTAAGATAAACCTTTTCTTTACCTCGCTGACTTTCCTTTTGAGGAGAATTACAGTTCTGGGTAAGCTTTAGCTCAGCACAGCATCAAAACTAGTCTAATGGCTAACAGGTGGTGACTCTGCTGGAGATTCACGCTTAAGTTCATCTAAGAGGACCTGCTGTCTCAAAGTAGACTGACAACTCAAACATTTGGGCAATGTTCATTATTTATCATTCTTTTACTTTGTACTACAATATGTACAGTATTCAGATCTGTCACAGCACACACCAAACACAACACAGTGCTATCTGTGTATATATACTCACATCCACACACGTCTACAAGTAACACTTTCAAAAAAAGGTGGGATCATTAAGCAGCAAGATTTCTACTTTTGCTTTACTTACCTTTCCTGGAAGGTTCTATGTTTTACTCGCTGCAAAAAGATTAAGAAAAACAGCATTTTACTAGTGGGTGTATTCAACAATATAACAGAACTCTATTAGTCCTTTGTTTATAGGATTTTTATGCTTTCCTTCTAACATATGCCCCCTTCTCTTCCTTAACAGTACTTTGCTTTTACATGGCAGGTGGGGAGGGGCTTGGAAATCTTCTCCATTTGTAAACAAATGTTGGTAATTCTTACCCGCTGGATAATTTCTAGATGCTCTTGGGAATTGCTGAAGTTTTTGCCAATGTCAAAGATGCAGAAGGTCTCCCTCTGGCAGGCAGTAACCCAATTCTGATATTCATAAGTATCAGGAATCCGATCCAGAAAAATACGAAAGGCTTCCCACACAGCTTCCTGGCAGACTGAATAATAAGAAGGAGGATAGGGATGGATGCTTTATACCACAAAATAAAACTTTAAGACCATTTAAAAATGATTTTTGAGTTAAACGTTTTATTGTAGCCAGTAAACAAATTCAACATCTTTAAGGTTTTTAGGTATTTTTGAGTTGATATTTGTCTGTATGTTGAAGGATTATTCTTCCCTCACCTCGAACGAGAGATAAACTTGACCGATCATCATCATTAATAATAAAGAGCAAATACAATCACACTTCCTTCATCTCAAAAACACATAAACTAATTGTTAAACTAATTGTTTTATTACAGCAAAATGTAAGAAAAAAAATAGCCATTTTAATACATGAATAATCATAATTTTAACTGTGCACTAAGGTTTTTATATATTAGAAAAGGTTAACTAGGCACAGAACAAGCTGAACAGGCATGTGTAAAATTTTGATATTTCCCACACATATAATAAAATACTTTTAATGTAAAACATCTTTTTAAATGCAGCAGACCAAAGTGCTTTGTTCATATTATGTTGAGTGTATTTCATTTTTTAAAAGTCTTAAAGATTTTTTGCAGCAGCAATTTGACATGTAAAACTGCATATTCTTTCCTGTTTCTCTGAGCCTTAGAAAAATTCCTTAATATAGTTAAAACTCCTTTCCTTCTCTGAAAAGAACACAGTTTCTTTTTTCCCCTGCAAGCATACACATTTATTTATTTAGTATTAATATCTCCTCCGTAGTGATGAATCACTGTGTTGAATGCCAAGATACATCAAGCAAGATTAACAGGTACTGTAGCTATGGAGAGAACAGCAGTATTCTAAATCATTTAAGGAAATGAAAATGAACACATAGAGAGTATGACAGTGGGAGAGATTTGGAAAAGCTTTAAGGAATTTTCATTTACTGGATGTAAACTGGCTCCAGCTGTTAATTACGTGAGGTGATGTAAAACATACATAAAAATCTAATAAGTTACTAGTACTCATGTATAACCTGCTGTCTCTCTCCTTATGCAAGAAAGCTGTGAGGTTTAGCTGTAGTGTGTTGCATACATGTTATAATGCATATTCTGTCCTGGCCTTCACTTTTTAAATCTATTTTGTAACAACCAGAAGCTCATCAAGCATTTCAGAGAGAACTTTTAAACAGTCCTTCTGCAAAAACCTTGCTGTCTACGTGGTGTGCGGGTGAAGTTTGTCACGTGGATGAGTGAGGGAGGAGAGAAAGCAGCAGCACCTAGGATATACTAGGTGGCTGCTCGGGCATACCTTTTATTGCTTATTTTCCTTTATTTTTTTTCTGAGAACACTGCTTCTAGGTGTCTCTGGAAAAGGGAGTTTCTGCAAGTCACAGAGGGAGATGTGGACAAGGCAGGTGGGACTTGGCTTCCAAGTGCATTTACAGACCCCTGGCTGAAATCTCTTCTAGGAATCTCCAGACGGCTACTACCTATCTGTTTAATTACATTCAGATCATATTGATACGTCTTTTCATGCCTGTATAGATACCAGTCGTTCTCTGCACTGAAAATGTTTGGGTTTTGCCTGCTTTATTTTATGCGCCCTGTAGAATGAATTCTGGCTATACCTGGGTTGTGTCTGAAATCATTGAGTGCTGCAGAGATCCTCAGGCCAGCCCAGACTGCAGCCAGGAAGGGCAGGTCTATGTGGACTTTCCTGCTGATGTTTAGAAATACACACTTAGGTGGGTTGTCCGCTGCAGGACCTGTAAATTTGGCTTTTGTAGAATAACAAACATGGCTCTGTGGCTGTTAAAACTCATCTGTTTTAAACTGAACCACTTCTGTTCATCTGCAGCTACAAAACAGTTTTCAAATCTGGTGTGAAGGGATTTGTCTTTGTTCAGCATGGCTGTGATGATTAAATATTAAAGGCATCTGTTTCACTCTAACGATGTTTGTAATACAAACTGGTTCTTGGATTTATGAACTCAGCAATTGGATAATGTTTTTCCTTACTGAAGTCCCTGTTAATGGATCACTGCTTCTGTCCTTACTTGTTGATTCCTCTGTTTGGTATTTTTAGCGTCAGCAAAGCTATCTGGAATTTTGTTAGAGGATAATATTCATTCACTTAGAATGAAAGAAAATTTTGAAGTCTATTCTTTAAAATTAGCAAAATATCTTCCAGCAATTTAAATGATGTTGCTTTTAACACTACTTTGCACAGTTAGTTATTGTGAGATTGGGAGATTTGTTCTCAGTACCGGACACCTACTCTGACGCAGGGTGATATAATTATCTATATTATCTAAAATATCACTGTTTGAAATTAATGCCATCGGTGTGAGGAATGGGTATTCTGCAGACTTGCTGTAGGGATATATTCACCCAAGGATGTCAGGGAGACTCATTAACAGCTCAGGAATCACACGTCCTCCCAGCAGAGCATCTGTTTGTGGAGCGTAAGTGGCGTTATTATTAAAAAGGAACATTCTGTCTTTTAGGAGAGTTTGTTTATAATGACCTAACAGATCATCTTGCTCTCATTTATTGTTTTCTTAGCTCTTGTTTTTCTGAGCAGTATCTGCTAACAAAGATGTAATATCTGATGAAAAGTAATCCAATTATTTTGTTTTATATAAACATGACAAATGCCCAACTGAAGAGGTGTTGAAGCTGACTCTGTACATGCTCCGATGTTGCCCCTACATGACAGTGTGTAGTCTGTCTATACAGTCTGCTATGCTGCCTATAGAAAGTGGCTGCTACAGAATAATTTTCCCAGCTTAACACACTGGTTTCATTTTGGAGGTGACTGGGTAGTTCCATGAAACAGATTCAGGAGTAGCAAAATAGCATATACATGTATGTGAGTTATTGGAGGAACAAACACAGAGGAACAAATAGATAAACTACATTATTTAAGAGAGTAAATGTAGACTACTTGCATCCCAGAAGTCTTGAGTAGTGAGTTAGACTCGCTAGCTACAGCTCCAAAATACACAATTTTAAAATGCAAATTGAAACTGATGCAGTATGAAAGGTTAGGAGAAAAAGGGAGAGAGGAAATGTGAAATATAGAGGGCTATAGAGGAGGCACATGACACAATCATCTTACCTCGTAATCTATAGTAAGCTTGGTGACTTGCTAAAATCTGCTTTACTGATTCTTGTGGGCAAACTTTCACACCAGTTGAGAAGAAAGGTGACCTCTTTGTTCGATGCTTTGCCATGTCAAATATTCGCCTTATGGTTGACACTCTGGACCTCTTTGTTGTTCTTTCTGTTTTATCTGACCCTGAGGTATCTGCAAGATGCTTGACTTCACCACGATTTATTTTATTAGGGATTTCTGGAAAAGACAAAATGTAAATAAGTACATAAATATACATTGTGTAGGTAGTAGATGTGCACTGCAAGATCATGTCTGAAAATAGTCATGAACCTGAAAGTCTTTTGTGTTGCATCATGCTTGTGTTGCCATCATTCTGAATGAATGCATGCACTGATGAGAACCTTCTGTGCCCACATTGGAGAGTTAAGGCTCAAGCAACCTGGTAACTAGTTTTCTTACAGCTTGTCACGAGCCCCAGGTCATGCAGCTTACACACTTGAAAAGCCTAAATCCTGTTCTCAAGATCAGACTTTGGGTTATATGTACAAAGGACATTTAAGTACTTCAGATTAACAGCACTTCAGTAAGTACCTACCTGGAGCTTGGGCAAAGTGAAGGATATCTATATAAACTGAACAGGCAAATTGTGCCTATGCTAGTCATGCATGCAAGCATGATGGATATTTGCATCTTAAATCAGCACCTTTTATTAGTTATTATGATCTTTGTTCTGGGCTTCAGGGTACCTCTCCCTTTACATAAATCTTCATAGTGTTCAACCCACACCAGAAACTAAACACTGAACATCTTTTAAAAACTGAATAGGATTTTTGCCATCTTTGGGGAAAGAAAGATATTTTCTGTTGTCTTTTTTTTTTTTTTTTTTTTTTTTACTCTGCAGCACACTGCTCTATCTCTCACCTAGCCTGAAGCATTAATTGCTGTGACTGAAACTTCTCTTTCTTACTGTTTGTTTCTTCACTATTGGACAATAGTGTCATGGACAAGCTGGTTCTTTGTATCTTAACAGATCTTTAACTATTCCTTGCAAAGCATCAGCAGAAAAGAGTGAAATCAGTGAGTGGGAGTTGCGGATCTAGGCTAAGTTTTGTTTATGTAGTTATTCAGTTATGAAAAAATGGAAATGCTTCTAAGGTGCCAAAATAGCCTCCAGAACATAGTCCCTCTATCTTAAAAATCACACAAACATTCAAAATTTGTTTGGTCCTAGTTCCCAAGTATTTGTAATTCAGTAATATATGACAAAACAAATTAACTTCCTGTAAAAATGTTAGGAATAAAAATAAAAGACATACATTTGCATGAGCTGAAATGGCATTTTGCAAGATCATTTGAATGAAGCCATTAGTATATATTAGATTATCTTCCAAATGTTTGCATACATTGTAATAATGATGCTAAAGTTAATTTATAAATGTCTTTTTGCTCCATTTCCATATAGTATGTAGCTTTCTGGAAAAAGTGCTCTGAAAGAAAGGGATAAAATCTAGATGTATTTGAAAAAATTTCTAAGGTAGAAAGTGTGAGAAAGTTGGAATACGTGTAGCTTCAATGAGGATAAATTGACTGAAGAAAATACTTTGGAGAACAGTTAAGAGGAAAGGAAGGTAAAAACATTATCTTGGCTATTTGGTACTGTGTTAATTAAACTTTTAAAGAAAAATGGGTGGATATAAGAGACAAATAATAGAGAAATTTAATATTGCAAAAAGAAAACTGCCTAAAGTGAAGGATGGGAGAAGCTGTCCCATGTATGTCAGTATTGTCTGGTTCTTATTTAAGTTCAGAGTAATCATCCAATGTTTATTGAGTATAAATGATAATAATAACAAATTATGAAATACGTAGTAGTCTGACAGGGGAAAAAAGTTAATTGCTTGATTATGATATATTTTGTATATCATAAAAGTTGGGAAGAGTTAGGAATTTATAAAACAAATACAACAGACAATTGTTACTGCTTAGAACACCATGCTAGAAGTAGCTCAGCAGCATCCTGTAGACCTGGGAGATGGAACTGTTTTACAGGTGCAAGGCAATTGGAAATGCTGATGAATAAAATGTTGTCATAAAATCCTGTGGAAGTAAATATTTTTCGAATCTAGTGTTAGATCATGAACCATAACGATAAAGCGGCAAAAAAGGAACTTGCCTTACAGGAACATGGCTCCAGGTCCCTCACAAACCACAAAGGGCCAAATACTAGATCATTTGAGAAACTGAATGATTTCAGTGATAAATTTCAGTGCTGTATTTATCACTGAAAAAAACCATACAGTGCATTTGATATATCAAAATAGGGTTCCAAAATCCTCCAGGAGAAAGTGCTAGAGCTCTACATGGAGGGAAAAGAGCCGATTGTCAGCCCATTACCAGTTGTATTAACTGCTGTAGACCAGCTGCCTGGGCAATCTGACCAACTGCAGCAGAGGGTTTTGACAGTAAGCTCTTGGATAGCTTTTGTGTGGTGCAGAGGCCTTTCCTGAAGGATTTGCTTCTTCCCCAGGATTTGCTTCTAAGTCATTAACTTGAATTAAGATTTATGCTCTTCGTAAGTCTGGCAAAGAAGATTCGTCTTAAGTGATTGTTATAATGACTTGTAAATTCTCTGTGTTGGAGTCATTAGTTGAGTTTCTCAATCTGAGAAAGTGTCCATACATTATCTGCTTCAAGTTATCATTGCTCTGCTTGCCTATTGAGAGTATGTGTAAATCTTTTTCTCCCTTCCCTCTGATTTCCATATTTTGTGGGGAGGAATGGTTGCCTGACATGCTTACTGTAATACATTTTACTCCGTGAATATTTTATTGTTAATTTATTTCCTTTGCTACAGTAATTTATATTTTCATCACTTATTGAAATCATGTTTTCTTTACTTGAGGAAAATTGTCTTTGAAGATAATACCACCCTCCTCTATACATATGATTTTGCAGTGCTTGTATACGTTCACAGTTCTTCAGACCTGTGACTTCCCCTTGTGTCAATGGAAATTCTGAAATGAGAAATTTTCACCTAAGGCCCTCCCCAGACGGTTTAGCCATGTACTAAAATATGCCTGTCAAACTCTACAGCTTTTCTTTCAGTGTCCTGGATTAAAAAGAAAACTTAAAGTTTATCTTTAGTTTATTATCTAATTATAACCTATTACAACTTTTGATACCATGTGGCTATTGACATACGTGACAATGACTGTTATTATCAGATTACATTCACATATATTAACCCTTTTCTTCCTCCTGTGCAATATAGTAACTAAGTAAATAATTCAGGCGTAAAATAAAAGAATTGATTAAAATCATCACAAGATTTAACATATTTGAAAAAGCAAATTAGTCTGAAAAATGATAGGTAGGAATGCTTCATTGATAAATAGTAAAATAGTAAATAGTAAAATAGTAAAATAGTAAAACAATTGCTAATTAAAAAGAAAAAAGAAGTTTTACTTAAGGAGATCTGCTGAAATATATTGAAAAGAAAACTTTGCAAAGAGGGTGATTTCAGCAAAGATCATCTAAATATGTTTGTGATGCACCTCATTGCACAGCAGAGCCCACATGCCGTCTTCTAAAAAAAAAAAAAAAAAAAAACCAAAAAAACCCAACCAACCGAAAGAAACACACAAGGATGAGTAACGATAGAAAGTAGATCCTGAGATCTCTGAAAGGGCTGGCTAGCATAAACACCAGATGGAGTGTAGAAAGTACAAATAGAGATAAGTACAAATAGAGATAAGATCCTGATCAGTCTCTTCCTGAGACTGAAGTAGTGAGAACCCTAAATTCTGATAGCACTAGCACTGTCAGTGACAGAAAAGATGTCTATGATGTATTCCCTCCTTATATTCCTTTCCATATCCTTTTTATAGTATATGGAGATGTAGCTGCATCCCAGATGCATAGGAAGGATCTGAACAGCTAAAAAGGGCTCAGATGAGCAGTGGCAGATTAAAGTAATGCATGTCTTTATCAATCAAATGCAGCCTAGATCCTGTAAGTGAATACTAGGAGCAAGACTTACACACTTCCAGGGAAGCATGAAAGACCCTCCATCTTCCCATGCAGGAATCAAAGCAGAAGCCCTTGCCTTTGCTTTCAGCTTAGAAGATTGTGCACTGAATTGACATTCCACTAGTAAATGTTACATAGCTGATGTCTGCATCCCCAGCAGCACAGAACCTTTCGTGTACCTGTTTTTATTTAGTCTTATACTACCTTCAATGTCACAGTGCTCAGGAATAACAGGACCCCCTCCTCTTCCCACACTAAATCTGTCAGTCAAGATTTGTGCCACAGTCAAGTGTGGTTGGTGGATGATACCTGTCACACTATATTTCTTTTACCAAATTTCAAGAAGTCTGCTAATGTGCTTTTTACGTTTTTCTTTTTTAGAGCAGAGGTTTCAGTGTTGGCACCTAGCTGAGATGTGTAGGGCATTTTATACCTGTTGCTGCTGTTGGGCTGCTTGCTGTCAGTGCTTTGTCAGATGCTGTGACTGTATTTGAGTAACATCTCCAAGCTTGTTTTCACAGCTCTAATATCTGACAACTCTTAAAAACTTGACAGAATGGAATCCCACATTAGAAAACTTAATGCTAAGAATTCATCAGCTCAAATCTTGTCTCTGCTAGCAGAGTGCCCTTAAAACAAAATTACGTGTCTTGTTTGTTCTTCTGTATTCTTTATATGTTCAATATGTCCTTTACATGTCCAATATATCCTTTCACTATTTTTAACAGTGAAAAATCTTTGAGAGGAATTTCTGAGAGGATTCTGCCCAGCTTTCATTACATCCTGGTGGGTACTGTGTCTTATCTGTGAGCTAACTGTGGTAACAGAGGCACAGGAGAAAATTCAATTTGGATCTCACTCCTCTAGGTTTAAATTCACTCAGCTGGCAAACTGTCCAGTAAGAGGGCAATTCCCATTACTGCATGTATGTTTTGCTGAGGGATAAAGGGTTCCCATAGATGCCTAGCTTCAGAGGAAGTTGAACACTGGCCAGAGAAGGATTCATGTGTTCCTGAAAAAGGGGAAGAGGGCAAAGGCAAATACTTCTCCATATTAATACTGGTTGTAATGAGCTCTTCAATTGCTAATTGGCCTGTTAGCATGTGTGAATGCTATTCTTAAGTGTCTTTGAACTGTAACATTAACCTCGGCATCTAAATGCAACAAGGATCTAGAGGGTCCCAGCCCAGGTCTCCGTCTTGGAAGAT